TACATGAATATTGAAACTCAACAGCACTGTTTCGTAAGACACATGTACCTCGCTCACCAGGAGCTTTGAGTGAAGAACCTATACTTACTTGTACAAAAGGTATTAACATTTTTAAGATAAAGGTCACATGCTTTGGACCAGCATTCAGTAAACTGATATATTTGGGTAGAGACGTAATTTCAATGTCAACAATGTTCATGTTCATATTGATTTAAAAATGCACATTGGCACTATAGTGTTTATTGGAAACTGTAACAGTGTGATTATGAAATGTTTTTCGAATGACTTACTCTTCTTTATTTTGCTATTCGTTTTCTGTGCGACAATATGACACCCACGGTGTTGCATATGAATGCTACACATATACGTCACACGCTGCTCAATTTTATGGTTGTTAATTTTGATTGGTGATGCATTTATGAATAACGAACGATTAGTTATTCAACTCGACATATATACGTGTATGAACGCATTACTCCAATCAAAATACAACCTAGTAATTAAAATATATTATTTCACCATTATCTGAAAACTAGGTATTGATGTATTTCATTAGCTATCTTCAACTCGTTCTACGAGTTCTGGAATTGTAGAATAAATATGATACAACACAGAATAAACAAACACAACTTACTTTCAATGAAAATGGTACAAGTTTGCACATCACTTCCCCGAAGATCCAGTCATGAATGATAATTTGGATGAATAAGAACGGCATACATAATATCCCTAATGTCCAGTCAGCTAGCGCAAGATTCAACAGAAAAGCGTTGAATGTTCTCTTCTTCCGTCGACCGAACGTCAAGACTCATCACTGAAATGTTGCCAATGAGGGACAGAACCATACCAATTACGAAAAACAAAATCAAAATGATTTCCACAGTTGGCGGAAGGCGATCTATATAATAACAAGTTGTACAATTTGTTTGCGATGCCGTCACATTGTACATTGGTATGCAGCAATTGCCGCTGAACGAATCGTAATCGTTAATTGTTGGCATCTCTGAGTCAGCAAAGACTAAAGTGTGGTTGTCCACGAACGTGTAGTGCGCCATGATGTCAGTCGAGCATGGAAGTTGAGATTGCCAATCTAAAGACACGCACACAGCACAGCGCCAAAGAAATGGATTGCTTAGTCAAGCGCCCCACCTCGAAGTAGCAACCTGCAAAAAAAGAGAAACACGTTACTTTGTAATACGTCGCTTCGTGTTGATGACTGATGTCAGTACAGGTAGCGTAGAAGTACCAAGTGTAACAATATCATACTAAACACCCAAACCTAGTTATGTTTTTGAAACCCATTAACATAACAACACGCATTACACGCCTGATAAAAGCCAATAATCAAACGATAAATATCTTGATATAATTACTTCGTTTAATATATTTTAATATCCGATGTATGTTTGAAATTAACAACACACATTACACGCGTGATAAAAGCCAATAATCAAACGATAAATATCTTGATATAATTACTTCGTTTAATATATTTTAATATACGATGTATGTTTGAAATACGTAATCAATAATATTGTATTGTATTTGCACTGTTTCTCGTGACATATTTCCGTTCTGCGACTATTCAAATGGTTTGTAATATTTGTCTCTCATATGTGGTGTGTTGATAGGGCGACGAACAACACAAACATTTTATTCAACTTGATATTCTAACGTTTTTACTTGGTAACAATTTATGATTCAAGTCCTATTTTGCTTTTTTTACATGTGACATTATAAATTATCTGTGAAGGTCGATGATATATATATATTGAAAAGGAGAAATTGTGTTGTAATCGCGTCACATCGTGACAGCGTGGTGAGACAAGCCATAGTATTTATCGGGGAAAGCATGACAATAGATGCCAATGACAAGAGAGTATTGCATTTTGCAAGTCATACTTTATTTAGTAATAACCATGACGAGCTTTTGTAACTTGGGGTTGACTTGAGGTTTATTAACACCGCTGATTTCACCAATGAAATCGAGTGTAAATAACTATTTAGGCTAGCACTGAATGTGCGTGTCAATCCAGT